ATTAATAATAAGCCGGATAAGGCTTCGGCCCCCGAGGCTTCGGCCAACGAGGCTTCGGCCAACGAGGCTTCGGCCAACGATATTAATACTGCTCCACTCCCGCAACCAACACCGCCCCCGACACCAAGCCCCCCCACCCCCGCCCCCGCACTCGCACTTGCACTCGCACTCGCACTCGCTCGCACTCGCGCTCTGCCCCCCCCCGCTGCCCGCGCCCCTTCTCCCCTCACCCTCCGCCCTCCCTTCCCCGCGGCCCTACCCGTCCTTTAAGGCTTTGGCCACTGAGGCTTCGGCCACCGAGGCTTCGGCCAACGAGGCTTCGGCCAACGAAACAAAAAAAAAATCCTCGCCCTCCGCCCGCCCTTGCCTCCGCCCAGCCCTCCGCTCTCCGCTCTCGCCCTCCGCCCTTGCCCTGGCTGGCCTGGGTGGCATCTCCTCATCATCACGCGCCAAGTGGGAGGGAAGTGGACGGGGCCCTGAGCCGACCTAGCCCTAAACGGAATGGGGCGCCCAACACGTGCCCGGATTACTGTGCCTTCCCCGGGCACAGCCTTTCGGCTCGTGAAGGGTCGGTGCGTGTCGTGATCCCCTGGAACACCCGTACTCTCCCGCGCCATCTCCGTCGCCTTGTTCGGCTGCGGCCTTACCACCAAGATCGGGAGGCGGCCAGGGCTCATAGACTCGGTCGAGAGACCCCAGATTGGCATCCATGCCTCTCTGGACAGGGTGGCCCGCCACAACGACCCCTGGAATTGCGACTCGCCGCTTTCCTCCCGCTGTGATTCTGTGTGAGCTCTGTGTCTTGATTTGCCAACAATATACCTACACTCGCCTATAGCAGCGAAGAGCGGCACCAAAGAGAGCTGCTCACGCTCTTTGCTGGCCACGAGTGCTCTCTGACCATGAACCTAGTCCGCGCCCTCGGCTCCACTTACGCCGCTGCCTTCCTCTTCCTCCGCCTCGGCCAAACCTACCACCTCCTCCTCTCCCACGGTCTCCTCGTCCTCGTCCTCGTGGCCACTCTCCTCTACCACCGCCCGCCGCTGTCCATCCTCGCGCTCCCTGCCGCCATGGTCGCCTGCGTGCTCCAGTGGGACGTGCTCGCTCCCCAAGCACTGACCAACGGCCTGGCTGCCGAGAGAGGCTTGACCGTCGTCGTCACCGGCGCCAACAGCGGGCTCGGACTCGCGTCGGCTCGAGCGCTGCGCGGCGTCGGAGCCACCGTCATCCTGGGCTGCCGCTCCGAGGAGCGCTGCGCCGCCGCCGCGGCGCTGGTCAATGCGGACGAGCCCAGGGATGCGCCCACCGCGCGTGCCGTTGCGGGGCTGGAGCTCTCGTCGCTGAAAAGCGTCCGGCGGTGGGCGCGTCGGGTGCGAGGCCTCACGCGGCGTGCGGCGCGGCGCGGCAAGCTGGTGCTCGTCGCCAACGCGGGAATGCCAAACAACGGCGCGCATGGCAAAACGACGGACGAGGGCCTACAGTTGCTGACGGGCTGCATGTACATCTCACACCACGTCCTCGTCAAGGCGCTCCAGCCGACGCGAGTTGTGCACGCCAGCTCCGACACTCATCACCTGTGCTCGCTCCCGCTGCCCCCGCTTGTGAGTCCCTGCCTCAGCGACGACTTTTTCAAGCCGGGGGCGCCCTCGCCCACTGCGCTCGAGTCGTCCGACCTTATGGACTACTCGCGCAGCAAGCTGCTCCTGACGCTGCACGCCCGCGCGATGGCCGAGAACGGCTTCGTGAGCCGGGCGTACGCCGTCTCGTACCCGTGGGTCCAGACCAACATCCAGCCCTTCATGCGGGCCCTCGACTGGAGCCGGTTGGGCCTGATGGCCTCGGCCGCCACCGCGGTGGCGCCGCTGCTCGTCGCGTGCGTTGCGTCAGCCGAGAGACTCGACCAGTTGGGACCCAACGGTGGGGTCTTCCTGTCGGGGCAGCTAGAGCTGCGTCAGGCGCTGGACCTGCCTGGCTTCCGCGGGCTCAACGCGAGTTCGCTCGCTCGCTCGCTGTGGCGGGACACGGAGTCACTGCTAGCCGCCCTCCCTGAGAAATAGACATGCACAGAGAGCGCCGTCTCTTGCGCCGCAGTGTGAGGTGAGAGGGCCGTGCGTTGGAGGGGAAGAGTCTCCGGAAAAAGCTTCTCGCCCGCACAGTTTGGGACCAGTGTCTGTGTGTGCAGTGTGCGCGACACAACATATTACCTCATTGCTCATAGCATACCTGGGTCTCTCGGTGCGCTATCTGTATCTCCACGCGCTCGTCTCTCTGACACGCGCAGGGGGCGGCTGGAGCGATCTGTCGCCGCCGTACGCGCGCCCCGCCGTCGAGACGATCGTCAAGTGTCCTTGATTCTTCATGAGAACGTACTGACGTAAGCTTGCGTATACTGACGTAGGCTATAGCAGGCGTATAGTTCCGTCTTCCGAGGGCAAGGCGATGAGTCGGAGCAGAGAGTTTGGGAGCCTCTTGCTCACAGGGAGGCTGCCGCCTCGACGGCGCCCGCGCCCTTCGTTGTGCCGACCTGATGAGCCCCCGGCGAGGAGTCCGGCGCGTCGAAGCGCGAAAAGGCAAAGGCCGGCTCGTAGGGGCTTGCCACCTCGTACAGTGCCGCCTCGCCCTCGATTGCGCCTTCCGCCATCGAAGAGGTTGTAAAGCGCCCCGCAGCCGGGTAGACGTCGACGCGCCCCTCGCGCGGTGCCACCGAGGCAAAGGATTGGCCGATGATGCCGTGAGGCAGGTCACGAGCAGGCGCCTCACCATCCGCGGCGCTGAAGCTTACGTCTAGCCGGTGCTTCAGCGCGATGCGGCCCCCGCCTTTGCTCCTCCTATGCGTGAGCCTCTATGGCGTGGCCGCTATCGAATCTGGCTCGTGCAAACCCTTCTGCGAGAAGAAGACCGAGCCGTGGGAGTCGCTCTGCACCTGGAATGGCTGCGACGGTTGCAGCGAATGCTACGTCCAACCACCGCCTGCAAGCCCGCCACAATGCCAGGGCTTCTGTGAAGCAAAGACGCAACCCTGGGACGCCCGGTGCAGCTGGACCGGCTGTGGCGGCTGCACTGAGTGCATGCTTCCTCAGCCGGTGTGCAAGGCATTCTGTGAGGACAAGACCCAGGCCTGGGATACCAAGTGCACCTGGGGGGGCTGCAACGGCTGCTCCGAGTGCTCTCTCCCTGCGCCGGCGTGCAAGCCGTATTGTGAGGACAAAACACAGGCCTGGGGTGACAAGTGCACCTGGCAGGGCTGCAACGGCTGCTCCGAGTGCGGCGCCGAGTCCGAGTGCAAGCCGTTTTGTGAGGACAAGACGCAGGCATGGGATGACAAGTGCACCTGGGAGGGCTGCAACGGCTGCTCCGAGTGCTCTCTCCCTGCGCCGGCGTGCAAGCCGTATTGTGAGGACAAAACACAGGCCTGGGGTGACAAGTGCACCTGGCAGGGTTGCAACGGCTGCTCCGAGTGCGGCGCCGAGTCCGAGTGCAAGCCGTTTTGTGAGACCAAGACGCAACCATGGTCGGCAAAGTGCTCATGGAACGGCTGCTCGGCCTGCGGGGACGTGTGCAATGCGTGCAAGCCCTACTGTGCGATCAAGACGGACCCGTGGGATATGCTCTGCAGCTGGAACGGCTGCTCTAGCTGCACCGAGTGCTCCGTGTCCCCGCCGCCATCGGTGCCGCCCCCGTCACCGCCGCCACCGACACCGCCCCCACCCACGCCACCACCGCCCTCTAAGCCACCCTCCACCCCCCCCTCTCAGCCACCCTCCACGCCACCCTCCAAGCCGCCCGCTGAGCCACCATCTACGCCACCCTCCACGCCACCCTTCGTTCCGCCCTCCACCCCGCCCTCCACCCTACCCTCCGCACGCGCCTCCCGCGCCGCCGCCTCCGGTGCCGCCACCGCCTGTCTCTCCGCCACCCTCGGCGTCGTCGCCGTCGCTGTCGCCCTCACCGCCT